TTCATGGATGTTCAAGTAATAATATAGGCTTGGAACAACATGAAAGCAAAGAAGGGATGCCCAAATGTTAATTTTATGTGTGAAAGTTCTCTCGAGTGTTTGTATATATATGGAAAGGCATTTGAAATGGTGCGTTGGGCAATCTGCAACACAGCTTGGGGGCCTGATTAGGGTGGTCTTGCACTGGGATTATGTTTACATTAGCATGTCATTCTGTTAACTCTTCAGATTCTTAGTCGAGTCCCAAAATACACACACACACTGCAGGGTAATCAGTAACCTGCTAATGTGAGCATGTAACATGCGAATGTGAAAGTTGGGTGTCCTAAACACAGAGGCCCCCAGGGTCATTTTAAAAATGGGAGTGAGACGGAGAGTTTTAGTGCTAGACACAATTAAACACGGGTTAATACTTTAACCTCTTAGTTTGTCAGGAAGGAGAAAGGCGACTGGGATCCAGTCAGCAACAATTGTGTATCTCCATTTAAAGCGATAGTTCACCCAAAAATGAAAATTCCCTTATTATTTTAATCACCCTCATATCGCTCTAAAACTTTATGACGTAATTTTTCCACGGAATACAGAACCAGTGTAGAACTGATTTGAACTTGTTCTTTTGAGCAAAAATAACATGATTGGTTAGACGTCTTTATCTCATTGCGCGTTTTCTGAGAATTTCTGAGGTTGGGATTGTTAAAGACTGTGTTAAAATCCCGAGTCCCGAGAAAGAGTTCAGAACAGGAGGATTGTGGGAGGAAATGAGTCGAAGATGGGGATGAATTCTGCTGGAAGAACTCTGAACGCATTCTACATCGCTCTGCTCTCTGTTTATTTTACTAGGCAGGAACAGGTTGATGAGGAAATCAGCTTGTCTCTTTCCATCGTGCGATCGTTTTGCTAAAAAGATCCATGATGTGACTTTCAAAGGGCAGATTCACAGATTGAGGATTCAGAAAATAAATAAATCATGTAAACAGTTCAAGATGAGTACATTTCATTGCGCTTCTGTCATAGTGTTAGTTTATTGGAATTTAGATTAGAGGTGTTAGTCATTTCTACCTTGGAAGATGCCAGACTCAACAGCATTAACAACTGCTGAGTCACGTGAAGCACACCAGGCACAGAACCAGGCACTTGAGTGAAAACTTCTGAAGCCTTTGAACACTTTGGCAGCAAGATTGAACAATTTTGCATTTCTCTGTTAGGGCCTTAATAAGTCTCAAATCTGTTTAATGTTCACTGATCAATTTTAGAAGCAAGGGAAAATGATTTAAGACTTTTTTCCAGCGGCGTTCCTTCAGAAACTCTAATTAAAACAAGGTGGTAAAGCTCATTCCCTGAACTCACTTTTATTCACTTTTCCCTCCTCGCACACATTTCAGTCTGATCCCAGCTATAGCTCAGCACACGGGCCGTCCGGTCAGTGTCAAGACCCTGTTACTGAGCAGCTCTTGTTCCCGTTGGACAGTCCTGTCCTCACTGACCGTAGACGCTGGCTTTCACTGCCCACCACTATTTCATCTCTGGGCAAACATGGCCGTCTCCGTGGCCAAATTGATTTGTTGCCAGGGTGTCCTCATTAAACGATCGCGGTAGGGTTGCGAGTGAATGTGTGTTAGTATATTAATGGCATCTAACAGAAATGCTTTTGTGAAGGCTATTGAGCATCTGTATGCCGGCACACGTGGCACCAGTGAGGAGAATTTTGGAAGAACAAGAGCTGATGAAGATGCTAGTTAAAGTCAGCGTGAAATATAAAATAGCTAACACTTCAGAATAGGGAACACGTTTTTACTATTAACTAAGAGTTTTCCCTCAATAAACTCCTAATTTGCTGCTTATTAATAGTTAGTAAGGTAGTTGATAAGTTTAGGTATTGGGTTGGGTTAAGGGATCTAGAATATGGTCATGCAGAATAAGGAACTAGTAAGCACTAATAAACAGCCAATAAACTAGTGATATGCATGCTAATAAGCAACTAGTTAAAAGTGAGAATTGGACCTTACAATAAAGTGTTACCCATGCTGTTAATCTTAATGTGAACATATTGTGCATTTTTAATTTTTTAATCCCATAATTCTTAATCAAAATATAATAACTCAATCTTTCTTCTCTGGTGATGTATGCTGGACATTTAGTCCACTTAAACTCTACAGCTTACTCACAAATTGACAATCTCACATTCAGATCTGCCTTCATCCAGTCAACAAATGAAAGATAGAAGCAAGTCTTTGCTCCACATTTTTCTTCTTTTTCGATGATCCATTCCATTTGGATGTGCATCACAATTACGGAAGAAAAGATGTGTTGCTATTGTCTCATTGTGACTTTAACACTATATATATATATATATACATTATTTAAAATACCTAAAAGATTATTATTGTTTTTTTTTTTTCATGCATTTAATTTTGGAAAATTATTTAGATAATGATTAGAATAAAAGTGTAGCAGAAAAAAAAATGTTTATAAACTTGAAGAAAAAAAATCACTAAATTCTAAATTGATCACTAAATTGGTGGCATTGTAAAGTTATAGTATTAGATGGTAATATGATATAAACCATAGTACTGAATGGTGACCATATTGATATACCACAGTACTTTAAGGAACACCATGGTATGTGGCAAAAAAAGGTAAAAATCAAGTGTGTAAAAAAAAAAGTGGGAATCAAGTCTGCGAAAGACGTAGCTATTTTTTTTCTTTTTCGGATCAGACTAAGACACAGTCTGTTGGCCACTATCCTTCACTCCTCCCTTAATGATCCCACTTACTCAGTCTTTCCTGACAATTGAGAAAAAGCTTCCTAGAGATCAAACTGACTGCAAAACAAACAAATAAATACTAACTTCACCCATCTCTTTTATATTGCTTACATGCACAAAAATGAAACAGATCTGGAATTCAGTCAGTGCAGCTGGATGAAAACGTTCAGACCAAAAACTAGCTGAAATGACAAAAAAAAAAAAATCTTTCTGGTGCCCTTGGTGACATTAGCATCTGGTACAAAGCAGCTCTGGACAGATACAAAGTCTTCGTTGTAAATGAACTGGACAGGCGAGTTGACCTTTGAGCTTGCGTCAGTCAAAACGGCACCGTGTGGCTAGACAGACAACAGCGCTCCTCCATGTGCAGATCTGTTTTATTCCCAGCAAGCAGCCGTGGAGTCTGTAGCACAAACACACACAGTCGCTCACATTTTAGATGAATCGTGCTGATAATAGTCATTAGAGTGCATTTAATCTCAGATAGGGCCTTTGCTTTCTCGGAAAGGTTTGCTCTGCACACAGATCTTAGATCAGATTGGTCCGGCCCCTGCTTAATATCAGAGGCTAAACTTGTTCAAGATCCTCCCACAGGGACAGTTCTAAAGATCCAGAGTTGTTGTCTTAAAGTTGACATTGATGGAGATAGCCAAATGAGATTGTATCTCGGGAGCTGTCAGAAATCACATTGCTGATTTATACGTTGCACACTACGAGCCAAAACCGTGTCTGGAATTGAACGTACGGCAGCTTCTGCTGATCACCAATTGAATCTGCTGCCAAGACAAAATGGTTAAAGAGCCAGCAGCACCAGCTTCCAATAGTTATTTTCTAGTGTTTTTTTTTTTGTGCCACCAACAGACATATATAGCTTTGACTGAGATGCCCTCATTAATTAAACAAGCAAAAATAATATCAGCATTGCAAAAAAAAAAAAAAAAATCTAAAAAGTAATTTTCAAATGTTTTTTTTCAATAAATATATTGGTATATTTTGATATATTTGGTATATTGGCATTTTGTTCTACATATTAATCTATCAAAATTCAGTTTTTGCTTTGGAAAAAAAAAATCCACCTGGATTAAAATGTATCCGAATTATAGAATTCGGATCAATTTTTTTTTCCCAAAGCAAAAACTGAATTTTGTTAGATTATATTATTATATAATACTTATATAATACTCCATTGGCATTTTGTTACTTGTTTTAAGTGTTAATGTAATAAAATTCTGTTTATGCTTAAGAAATAAAAAAATCCAATGGGGTAAAATCTTTCTCAATTCTAATTATTTAATTTTATTTAATTTAATTTTATTTTATTTAACTAAATTAAAATGCTTTTTGCTGTGTGTGTGTAAATCATTCATAAATACGTTTATAAATTATCATATTGAAATGAATGCAGCACTTTACATATGAATGTTTTTAAAAATGTTTTCTGGAATAAGGCCCAGTGTACATGGACTTTGCTAGGCAACATAACATCAAGTGTGTCGTCATCGGACAATTTTAGCATTGCCAGTGTGTATCAGTCGGAGGTGTTATGCATTGTTAGCAAGTGTGAATGATGTGACTATATTAAGGAGTAGATGTTTGCATGTACCGACGCAGATTTTGAAGGTTATAATTACGACACAGATGAACATGGAAACTAACTTGTTAACTCACACAACCGAAGCACCCATTTGGCTGTGCAGAAATGTAACGGGCCGTTTCTCCATCCGACCTCCCGACATTACTGGCCGGCGTTTCTTCTTTGATGCTGGTGATGGCTCTCGCGGTACAGCCATAGGTTGTTTTCTTTTTAGATGAAATTTCATGCTGTTTAATTTTAACTAGCTTCTTTGGCTTGAATTAGCTTAGGAAAATGTTTCTGTAAGCAAAGAGCCAAATTGTGCACCACTAAGAGCCCGTCATGGCAGGCCGAAGGAAACAGCTTGATAGCATCGGCCGTAACATATAGACCTCCCCCACAAAACAAACAAGCACATGCCAGCGCAACGTTCCCTGATTACAAGCTGCAGTACGTCTGTCTGTCCGTGTCCGCTCCCATAATGCCTGCTACAATCCCATTTATTTGCTTTGATTTACTGAACATTTTCAATTCTAGTATTTTGTCTCGTGAAATGCTTTAGTCAGCTTGGCTTCTCCAGTCGAATATGGGGTCAAAAGAGTGCATGTCAACACAATGCTGCTATCTGACGGATGCTCTCGTGTCTGCGCTCTCTCCTGCAGCTGTACGGCTACTGCTACCAGGATAACAACGATATAAAGGACACGGTGACGGCCATCACGGAGCTGGGCAGCCCTCTGGAGATGATCCAGCTGCTGCAGACGCCCTGGGAGGAGAGATTCAGGGTGAGTCACTGCTCATATCACACATTCCATCTCGTGCCTGTCTGGAGCTCCAGGGAGGAACACGGGGCTTCAATTAGCCTTATCAACATCAACAACTGCGAACAAATTGAGTCCGTGATTTTTCTAACATTACTGTAATGAAGGAATTAAAGGTTGTTGTCAATTATTCATGTAAAATATGATTTACAGTGGGGCCTAAAAGTCTGAAACCATATTAAAAATCTGATTATTTATTTAAACCTAGAAATAAATAGAAAGTTTTAGAATTTTGAAAATTAAAAAAAAAAAAATACATTAATGTTATTTTTTTTAATTCAACTTTTGTATGCAATGTAATAAAAGAAAATAAATGTTATTGTCAATTAAAGGTTATTCATGACTTTGTAAAATATTGTATACAATAACGCCCAAAAGTTTGTATCCTAATGAACATCTGATTGATTGGTTATTTATTTATTCATGTATTTATTTATTTAAACCTAGAAATAAACGGAACGAAATAAACAGAACATTTAAGAAATTTTGAAAAAAAAAGTAAACAAAACACCTTGATATTAATTTTTCCATTTAACATTTTTTTTTCTTCGTTCAACTTATTAAATTAATTTAAGGTTATTGAGAATTTGAGATTATTTATGACATTGTAAATAAGTATATATAATGTGGCCCAAAAGTCTGAAACCATACTGAAAATCTGATTGATTGATTGATTGATTGATTTATTTATTGGTTGATTGGTTTAAACTCAGAAATAAGTAGAAAGTTTCAGAAGTTTTAATTTAGAATTTTAGAATTTTGAAGAAAACAAACAAAAAAATTTTTTTTATTCAACTTATTAAAAGAATTAAAGGTTATAGTGAATTAAAGTTTATTTGTGACATTGTAAAATATACAGTGGGGCCTCAATGTCTGAAGCCACATTGAAAATCGTATTTATTTATTTAGAATTTTGAAAAAAAACAAGAAAAAAAAACATCATGTTGATTATTCAACTTTTCATGGAAATTATGCTGATAGTATAATTTGTGGTGGGAAAAAATTACATTTGGACCCCACTTATTATATATTTTTTGAGAAAGATGAATAGATTGGGAGAGGCCCGAAGATACAGCTCATTTACCCCAAATAAACAAACAGAGGAACCAAATTACATTCATTTCATAAAATTACTACCATTTCATAATGCACTATATAAACATTTTTAATGACTTCAACCCAGTCAGCCAACCTCTAACTATGTTTTCTGTGAAGCCATGGGACAGCGGTTCATGCTTTTGCCTCCTACCCAGTGCTCATGTGGGTAATAAATGTGACATATCCTCCTCTCTCTGCCCCTAATAATTCCTTCAGCAGTGTTTCTCTATAGTGAAACATTTACACAAAAAAAAAAAAAAGAGTCCATGCTGGTAGAGCACACAGAGTAAAGCCTGTCTGATGCAGCGCTTCTGGAGATCTGGCTGTGTGGGACGTCCCGCACTCTGCTTTCTCTGAGCTTGCCTGATAGACCCGTCTGATCGCTATCGCTATGGCAGCCTCCCATAATGATTTGCAATGACTTCCTGTGTGGCGAGGATGAAACTGAATGAAGTCCCAATGAGCCCTTCCTCTGATAACAGACAGCTGTTGACATGAATATAGAATTATGTATTTAGAATTAATATGTTCAGATTATGTGATTGCAAGCCAACAGAGACTAAAGCTATAGCCTTCCCTAGTGTATTTTACTGGCCTGTCACACACTTACACACCCAAACAATGATTCACAAACACAGATCAACTCACTCGCTGCACAAAAGCGAAGGCACTCGGTAAACATTCATGCTTTGATAGGGAACGCAGCACTCTTGTCTACATGTCAACACTGCGCTGTACAGTTCAGCAGAACAATTCATCACTCTGCTTTAGTTTCAAAAGACTTTCCAGTCTGTGGCAGCCTTTCCATTTCCATAACTCGTAGCTACCATAGGATTCTGCTAAATATATTTATTAGGCTCATATTTCAGCGTGATATTTCAGTCATACTGAATGAATTTCCAGTCTAGAACAATGAAACCCTTTTAATGTGAATAAGACAAGTGTCTTTCTGTCCCTGCTGTTGATTTTCTCATGGTTTTGATTGCCTGGCCTTCTCCTTTCTAGTCTTTCTATTTTTAGACATTTTTTGAATTCCTTTATATAATTTACACAACTGTGAGAAAGTAGCCTTCTAGTGTTTTGTGTGTGTGTGTGTGTGTACTTGTTTATGCTACATTGCGGGGACCAAATGTCCCCACAAGGATAGTAAAACCTAGTGCTGGGCGGAATACCGGTTCATACCGAATACCGGTGTTTATTTTTGTTATGATATTAATTTTTAAAATACCGCAATACGTATGTCGCTTAAACAACGTTCGGAACGCGACACTGTTTGAAAGGGGTCCCTTTTCACTGTTGTACTGTGGTGAGGGAACAGCTGTATGTGTTACTAAGCGTGAAAGTTCCTACATTTTTGGTCATACCACCCAGCACTAGTAAAACCTGAAATTTTTGACATTGTGTGGTCACCTGCGATCCCCACAAGGGGAAAAAAATAAAATAAAAAATAGTGAATGGTGTTTATCTGAAAGTGTAACAATGCAAACAGGTTTTCTGTAAGGGGTAGGTTTAGGGGATATAAAATATTGTTTGGTCAGTATAAAAGTTATAGAAGTCTATGGAAAGTCCCCACAATTCACGGAAACAGTGTGGAAAATGAGAAACTTGAATTTTTTCCTCTTCTCTTGCCTCTGCAATATCAATATGAGAGACGTTAATGTATTTTAAACATTCAGTCATATGCTGTATCCGAAATCACTCACTAAATCACTCATTCCCTGTTTACTATTTATTGAATGTGACACAGTTCGCTATATGGGTACGGGAGAACAAAAATGTGTGAATTTGGACAGTTCTGTAAACACTACGGCACATTGTGTATGAGGTTACATAAGTGTTGTGTCCCACATTAAAAGCTTTTGAATTCCAAAGTGACATTTCAGACTGACACATTTCCAAATATCAATAATTGGATTTGCAAATTTTGAGATTTCCTGCATTTCTTTGCTGTTCAGACTCCAAACAATGGATTTGAGTAAACGGATTTGAGACAGATCTGCCCCAAAATCTGATTTGCTGCCTGTCTGAACAAAAGCAAGTAGTTACGTTCATTCCACTTGTGTTTATAAATGCTAATGCGTTTTGTCTCTTAGTGTGCTGCGGGGCTCTTTTTCTCTGTATGCATGTGGAACAAAGCAGAAACACCCAATTCTTTAGCAACATTTGAATTGTGTATGAGGCACTAATAGACTCTGGGGAGACTGTCGAATCCGTTGACTTCCAAACAGCTCATTTAGGTCCAAAGCCATTTCCTCTGCGCGCTGACGAAGGCTTTTAAGCCCTCTACACAACACGGGCCTGGGAGCGTCGACACACCCGTTCACACACCAGCTAAACCAAATACGTGACAAACAAGCAAACGTTCACACACTTGCATTTGCAAAAAAAATGCTTGCCGCATTTTTGAGGAAACCAAATCTGTTGGGGTATTTTAGACAGCCTCGCCTCCCTTACAATGGCTTTCTCAATGGTTTTACCAAATCTGCCCCACGTTAAGCAAGACAGCAACCCGCACGCAGTCACACAGTGTGAAGGGGCTGACCTTTCCCAGTAGTTGCTAATCCGGAGTGTATTAAAAGCCGCTTTTGTCTGTTGTGAAAGGCATGGGCAGTGTCTCCTCCACCCCCTCATCTCCTCTCTGTTTGCTTCTCTTTTATGTTCTCCTCTCCTTCTTTCGGTTGCGTTCACTCCTCTTTGCGTCTCCGTCCTCCTCTTCTTTGCCCACAGCCGTCTAATCCTCTGAACTCTGCCCTTAAGAACGTGGTAGATGTTGGTGTCGCTTGAATACGAGGTGTCACCAGCTGCCAGAGCTTCAGCTTCGTACCCTCACACACAATAAGAGGGCTAATCCTCAAGGAACACACTTGTGGGCTCGCAGACATGCACTGCACAACGGGCCTTCGCACACTCAAGTGGCTGCATGGGTCATGCAAGGGGGTGCTTCAAGTCCCTGAAGGCAGTCGTGGGTTTACCCGTTTTGACAGGGTAAACTTGGTTGTCTCAAACCAGGAACCAGTTAGAGGCGGGTAAAATGTCCCCTCTAGGTATAGTTTTCAAAAAACAGCACCAATTTATTAGCGCCTAAAGCAGTGCCTCACATTCAGTTGATGGAGACCCTGTTTGTTTTTGTTACACAGCACAGCGACTCTAGCCACTACATTGTCTCTGTTCAGTAATTTAGTTAAATCGTGACCATGTTTTTTTTTTTTTTTGTGGTTTAGGGTTATTATGAACTCTTTATAATATGTTTCATAATACAAAACAATAGATTGCTTTCCATATTGACATTATTGCGTGTCTCTGCAGATCTGTCTGAGTCTGATGAGGCTGCTGCATTATTTGGCTCATTCCCCGCTTGGGTCTGTCACCCTGCTGGACTTCAGGCCGCGGCAGTTCGTACTGGTCGGGGGAGTGTTGAAAGTGACCGACCTGGACGACGCCAGTGTTGAGGAGACACCTTGCTCCCCGTCTTCTCCTTCAGACTGTCTCATGGAGTTCCCCGCCCGCAACTTCACCCTACCCTGCCACAAGGACCGTTGCGAGGGTATCAACGAAAAGAGAAACCTCTACAATGCTTACAGGTGCGCGTTCATAACCTGAAATCTGTGCCAACTTGTGCTTTATTTGTGAGATGTTGACATATTTTTTTCCATTTTTCCAGATTTTTCTTCACCTACTTGTTACCTCACAGTGCTCCCTCAGCACTGAGACCCCTCCTGGACAAAATCGTCAACTCTACAGGTGAGTGTGAATTCATTTAGATCTGCTCTTATCTCTGCTGGAAAAAGTGGGTCATATCAGCTTAAGATGGCTTTAGTAACTGGTCTAAGGTGGTATATCAGCCCTAACAGTCAAAACTAGATCCAGCAGATGGTAGTTCAACTGATCAGCCATCTAAGCCAGCTTGGACCAACTAATGACCATAAATGACTAGCTTGGACTAGCTAGAAACCATGCAAACCAACATACAGTACCACCTGAAACTGGGTTTAGCTTCAGGGCTCAACAGTGCTAGCCTTTAATTTGCATTTAAACTAAAAATAGATTTGTGTGAACTGTAAAATGTATTTATAAGCATGTGTGTGAATAAAAGTCCCTGCAGGTCATTAAAAAGTCAAAAAAGTAAAAAAAAAAAATAAAATCCAGTTTTATAAAATTTAACGTCATTAAAAAGTCTTAAATATCTTAAACGCTGCTCATTTGCATCAATTTCTTTTTTGTTTACTGTTAATTAATTCTAACCAATTTTCACCGTATTTTGAGCTTGTAAATAATTAGTCCTGCATTATGCATAAAGATGTTTTTTTCCCAAGTTATTAGTATTTTTGTTACACAATAAACTGCATCTGCTATTTAATTCCATGCAAGCTGTAAAAAGAAAAACTAAGCACATTATTTAACACATATTATTCTCTCTCTCTCATCTATATAGTGTTTATACAGTTTAATGTAGATCTATAACTATTTACATAATTATTAAAGACAGTTGAAGCATAAATATTTAAAAACCTAGTGTAAATTTTGTACTTAGTGTACTTTGTTTGCATGGAAATGTCTCCTTTAATATGTGTTATTAAGGAATAACACATATTAATTGATGCATTTTCAATTCATCCCATTTTTCAACTTTCATGTGCTGCTTGGGAAAAAAGTAAGCGTCAAGCAATGCTTTTTTTGTTTGCTCAAACATCCTCTACAAACATTCCTCCTTTTCACATCCTAACATTTCTCTTTCAGTCCCTCCCAGATGCCTTTTGTCTCTGCCCTTAATTCCTTTCCTTATGCGCTCTATCGTCATGTTCATCAGTATAATACGGATAGAGTTTGAAATCTGTTTTTCTGGGACACAACAGTCCGTGAAGCCGCGGGTAGCGTGGGTGGCCCGGCCTCGATCATATCTTTCTCTCCCAGTGTCATGAAACGCCCACTTCAGCATCACTATGTAGGCATGTTTTCTTAATGACAAAATGTAAACTGTTATTAGTTGTTTATGCTGTATGAATGTGTTTCAGGGGAGCTGATATGGGGCACAGACGAAACTCTGGTTCACCTCGAAAAAGTGCTGGATATCTACAGGAATGGACATTACCTCAAGAATAACACACAGACACACAAAACAGGTGAGTGACCTGGACAGATACCAATATACCTTAACCTTTGACATTATTGAACGCACTTAATGACAGCTCAGATGCTCATTCAGAAAGACAGTCTCATACACAGTTCTTACTCTGGTCGGCAGGAAAATTATGCTGCCTTTTAAGATACCTAATTTGGCAGCATCACATATGTGAACCTAGACCACAAAATCAGTCATATGTAGCACAGGGATATTTGTAGCAATAGCCAAAAATACATTGTATGGGTCAAAATTATCCATTTTTCTTTTATGCCAAAAATCATTAGGATATTAAGTAAAGATAATGTTCCACGAAGATATTTGGTAAATTTCCTATAGTAAATGTATTAAAATTAAATTTTTGATTAGTAATATGTAGTGGTCCACCGATATATCGGCCGATATTTGGCATTTTTCAAATATCGGCATCGGCCGATAAGTTTTTCTGTTTGGCCGATGCGTTCGAGGTGGGACTTTTATTTTGACGGCATCAGTGCTCGCATTCTCCCTCTTGTTCGCCGTCGTCGTTAACAGTTCTGTCTAATACGGATAGAAGTCTGTCTAATAATCAGAAAGAACTGTTAAACAAAGGAATTAAAATGTATACAAAAAGTATTATAAGTGTGCTGTATGTAAAATGAGTGTTACCTTGGCTTTATTTAAAAAAATATGATTCCCAATGCACACAAACTTCCCAGATTACTGAGTGCCCTGTTGGTTACAGTTTACTTCCTTTTCAATTAGATTTATATTAAATATTTATTTATTTGTGGAAAATACTTTGTCATCTAAAGTATAAGTATGTTTATTTTACAAATGTATTTTTAATCTATTTTCAAATTATTTCAAATTTCTTAAATATGAATTAAAATAAATACAATTATATCGACTTTATATCGGCCATCGGCCACCCTGCTTTCCAAGATATCGGCATCGGCATCGGCTGTCAAAAAAACAATATCGGTCGACCACTAGTAATATGCATTGCTAAGAACTTCATTTGGACAACTTTAAAGGCGATTTTCTCAATATCTTGATTTTTTTGCACCCTCAGATTCCAGATATTCAAATATAGTTATTCAGTTGTATAGTATAGTAGGTCTTTTTTTTCTATTTTAAAATATATTGAAAACAAAAACCGGTTTTACTTTAAACAAGAAAAAGTGTCTGCCAAATGGGATAAGAAACTTAATTCAAAAGGAAAAGAAGTTTATGTTTCTTACTTCATTAGCAATTTTTTTTTTTTATAAGCGAAAAAAAAAAATAATGTTGGTAAATTTTCAGAAAACAAGACTAAATATCTTAAGTAATTTTGCTTCTCATGTATATTGATTTAAGAATATTTAAATATTTGTACATAAAACCAAGATAAACATGCTAAAAAAAGAAAGTATTTTTTTTACAGTGATATGACCAACACCAATTTTCTTCTTTCGCAATTCTTTAATTGACATGCACAAAACTGAAAGAGCCGGACACAAAGAAAACCCTCTTGTAATTGTGGTGGTGTTCATCTGCTCATCTCGTAAATACAGTACAATCATTCTGAAATGACTAGACAGCAGCAGAATCCTGGCAGTGAATGGGTCTCCTCAAATCTCCCCGGTATTAAACAGTTGTTCAGTCAGCGTGGAGAGAGAGGGAGATTTTGTGTGTGCATGTAAGGACAAATGAGAGGAGATTTAGAAGATTAGAGTTTATATAACTGGTGAGCAGAGGGGCTGCTCACAGGCCTGACGGACAAAACAGCCATCTCAGCACTCAGAAACACCTCAGCCTCTCTTCTACTCGCTCCACCCGAGCGAGTAGAAGAGAAGTCTGGTTATGAAACAGTATGATATTAAACTAAAGTGGACGGTAGAGTCACGAGCTCAGTACATGTCAAGAGTAACTAATGAGAAGAGATGTGTGAGGAACAGGCCAGTGTAACGCAGCCAACATTCTCCTTTTTCTTTCTTTGCTATCTCTCCTGCTCTTCTCTACGCTTCATTGGCAGTCTATAGCAGACAAACTTGTTGACTGATGAGAGCTTTAAGCAAGTGAGGGCCATCTTCTCCAGAGCCATTTAACTCTTTCCTCTCTCATTGGTCCCTGTCTTTGCCGTCTATAGTTTAGAAATTCAATTTAAAAGAGTATTGTACTGCATTATGCTTCATACCAAGTTTGGAAAATGCTGTAATTCCATCATTTCTTTGTAGACCAGTAAAAAAAAAAAATTCATTAACAAAAAGCCATTCAGTACTATTTTATGAGAATGGTTAACATTCTGTATCAAACTTGGTATTAATAGTTCTGTAATGGAAATAAATGCAAATAACTAATAGTCACAATGTCACAATAGCAATTGTGCTGATATTCTCAATACAGTACAATACAATACAAAACCACCCTTATTTATAGCGCATATTTAAAAACAACAGAAGTTGACCCGGTGTGTTTACAGATCAATAAAACAATCAATTGAAACATTTAAATACAGCATATTATGATATTTGGCTATTTAGATGTGCTCAGTTTTAAGTAAATGTGTAAAATACACTCATAAGTAACATTGAAAAGTCTGTATGATTTTTAAAAAAATATATATATATATTTTTAGCAAGGATGCACTAAATTGATATGACAGTAAATACAATATTTATAATGTTACACAACATTTCTGTTTCAAATATATGATGTTCTTTTAAACTTTCTATTTATCAAATAATACTGAAACAAGAAAATGTATCATGGTTTCCTCAAAAAAAAAAAAATCTATAAATAATAAAATTAATAAAATAAATTAAGAAATGTTTCTTGTGACACTAAAGACTGCAGTAAAAATAGTAAAAAAGGAAAACAATTATAATAAATTGTAATAATATTTCTCATTATTATTGTTTTTACTGTATTTGATCAAATAAATACAGCCTTAGTGAGCATAAGAGACTTTAAAAAAAAATTCAATTCAAGTTTATTTGTATAGCGCTTTTCACAGTACAAATCATTGCAAAGCAGCTTTACAGAAAATTAAAGTTTCTACATTATATTTAGGAGTAGCTTATCAGTGGTGACTATGTCATGCTGATGTGCATATCATGCAGTTAGTTAATGTCATGTATTCAAACGGACAGTAAAAACTATCAACAGCAATGATTAAAAAAATCTGACGGATTTGTACACATCTTATTTGCCATGATTAAATTGAATTTATATATTTTGGCATTATATCAGACATTCTTCTCTCTAGTTATTGGTTTTGGCATCAGGCATTAAATAACTCGCCTCTAATATTCATGCATTTTCTCGCACTGCATGTGAACAGGCCTTCATAGTCTCTTGTCTAGTCCAGTGTGCAGTATATTGACCGGACACTTCTCTGCAGCGATTGGTGTTGTCTGGATACAGATGGGGCTTCCCTGCGGAATTCACTCCTGCCCAACACACATTAAAATTCCAGCATGCCTCTGGCTCACTACATCACCTTCTCTCTTATTTCTCCTGTGTTTTACAGGAACATTCAAAGAAAGCAAGAGCTCCATAAAGCATTAATTAGGGCAATAAAGAGTCTAATAGTTGCTCTTATTTACTGGCTTCTAGCTCCACTTAGTTGCCACGTGCGGCCCTCGCTCTCCTCGATCCCACCGTGCTCACTCATCAGAAAGACCTCATCGAGGGCAGCTTGCCCAGTAACCTTCATTCAGAGCCAAAGAGAAATAGTGAATCACGTCAGTAAAGCCCTTCCAGCCATATCCCTGAAGAGCCAGAGAGGGAAAATTCAGAGACTCAGAGATTCCGACATTTATAGCCTAGTAGTCGAGACATTTGTAGTACACAGTTAACTTGTGTCTTTTAAAGGCTGTTCTCCTTTTATCAGACCCATTGTCACAGTCCTGCGAATGAGGCCTTGAGTTCACATAACATCCTTCTCGGAGAGCGTAAAAACCAAGAAAAACTCTACAAACCATTTGAGATGCTTTCCAGAACCAGCAATGCAACAGTGCCATATTGACAGCTCTCCAATTGATATATCCTGTCCACAAAGTGGACTACCCTGGGATCGTTTTTCGCAAAAGCGTACGAATACATGACCACATTGTCAGCATTTTTGCCCAAGGCATGCTGTCCATGACAATGTATCCATCGCCAGTCCACTTCTAAACTGCACACTGTAAAAGAGCCGCATATGGATTGTGAAAACGCAGGCTGGTTGTATTTCAGCGCGGTTGACCGGTGGTTGGCGTGTAATCAAAGGCGTCCTTCAACGGTCTTTAGTGGTCATAGTAACAGTGTATTAGCATGAAAAAGAGGAACATCACACAAAGTACTGTCAACAACTCAGATAATAGTAGATGAGTATGCGATGCAGGTTTGCTTGCTGGGTCTTGTCACAATGTGCTAGCGAAGGGCTGCGTTCATATACTTTAAAGACAAGTAAAGTTCCTTTAAACACAATAGTGCAGACCATGCTGACTGCTTTAAGGTGAAATATCATGAAAATCTGACTTTTTCCAAGTTTAAGTGCTATAATCGGGTCCCCGGTGCATCTACCAACCCAGAAAACGTGGAAAAAGAACAATCCAGTACATTTACTTTTTTGGTAAGCCTTTCTCTGCAAGCTTGTGAAAAAATGAGCCGCTCAGATTTCGCTTCCCCAGTGACATAGAAAGGTGATCTTATTGTAACATTACCACCCCTTAATCTGCATGTTTCCACCCACAGCGCTGCTATTCTGTTTTCGCAAGTGACAACAGTTCTAACGTCATGGCTAAAGTTCGAGCAAAGCATGCTAACTGTTCTGTGGATTTATTGATTTAGTTACTGTATATTACGCTGCTGCCACATGGATCTAATATAAACATGCGATTTCTTTCCCAGCTGTTTACCTTCACAGACATAACAACTAATTGTTTTTGTAACTCATATGTGTTTTAAACATAAACTTGTGTGTATTTGACAGATTAAGCGCAATAAGACAAGAAAGAGAACTTAGTTTAGTACTCACATGCTGTGTGACAGGCG